TTTCACCATGATTTATTTCATAGTATTTTTGAAATGTCAATTAATTTGCTATTTTAGGAATAACTCATGAGAAGCATTCTTATCTTGATGCATCACTTCGGTGGCTTGGACATGTCCTACGAATGTCTACCTAGAGAATCCCTCGTCGTGCATTATTTGCTGATACTATGACTGGTTAGAAAAAGCAAAGAGATGGTCTGTGTATGACACGGTTTCATGGTATGAAAGAAAGCTGTACAGGATTGGCTTATGTTGATCCTTCATCACTCCATGGTTGGGGTGCAACACAGTGGCTAGAGACATTATCAGATATGGCTCAGAATAGAAGCCAGTGGCGATCTTGCTGTAAATTTATTCTACTTCTTTATAAAAAGTGGACATAACTTCTTTAACTGGAAGAAATCTCTCTGGCTGTACTTTTGCTAACTGAACTGATGCTCTGATAATCATTATTTTACTATCACACACTAATTTCTGCTCGTTATTGTTCAACTTTTTCTTATACACACCTTACATACTTTATCTCTTCACATTCTCATTATTATTGTGTGGCGCATATGTATCTGGTACTCCTTGTACCAATATTTGTGTTTAAATAAACAAATAATAGCATTCTTATTACGTTAGTTCGTTTCACACCCCCACAAGGGAAGGAAGTTTATTTTGTTTTGTATTTTCATTATTTCATGGTTAATGAATTTGTTAAGTATCCAATAACCTTCAGATGCCATTTGATATTGATCAGTCATAGTGTATGTCAATTTTAACTATTTTTAATGCGGGTCTATATCTTTGATAAAGTTATGTAATTTTATTGAGTAAAACAAGAGTATCAGAAGGATGTTTTGTTGAGATCATGAGTCGATTGAAACTTAACCACCATGGAAAACCTGAAAACACTAGGCGGCCGTTTCGTTCCATTGTTGGACGCCTCAGCAGTACGCGTCCACGATCCCGCCTCACGAGGTTCGAACCCAGGACCTATCAGTCTCGCTCGTGAACGCTTAACCACTCAACCAACCACTGAGCCGGCCGGTATCCAACAGTGTAAATGCTCAACTTCAACTAATCTACGAAATTGAGCGGCACATTCACTATTGTGATCAGTGAGTTACCAGCTCACAACTCCAGAAAATATTTCTTTGAGACCTTCACTAGTGTGTAGATGTTGATTAATATCAAAAGTGGTTTTTTGTGGATATTATTGTGAGGAGTCCTACATTTTGACAAAATGGCCGTCCAATGCTTCCAGGTTTTCCATGGTGGTCTAGCTTCAATTCACTCATGATCTCAACTATTAAAATTAAAATAAGAATGATTGTATGACATTTTTGTATATCTGTTCATTCTTTGAGGATCTAGAAATTTTTTAGTTTCAGTAAGAACTAGTAACCTGATCATATTATACATCGGTGAGTGTGGATTAACTATTACTTCATACAACTTATAAGTCTACTGATTTTTATGGTTTCTTACTATTCAAAACATGTTTTTTTCAGTTATTGTATATGTAACGCAGAAGCACAGATTTTTTTTGGAAATCTAATCATTTTTCGTTGCAAAACATGTGACTCTAGGATGCTGAACTTAGGTTATTCCATTAAACTTATGCTTTTGTTGATAAGTAAATTTCGAATATAAAATGTCTTATAATTTATACAATCATCTCAGTAATGCCTGTAGAGAGTATATGTGAAACGTATTATGGAGCCAAATAATAAGGTTTTTCTGTAAATAAAAAGAATAATAATAAAGATTGTTTGAAGATCCAAATGTTCAATCATGTTATTTTCAAGTGTTTTTTATGTGACTAAGCTATGATTAAATAAATCATCAAAATAAATAAAATGAAGCGTAAGTGGAAAACTATTAATTGCTATGTTGAACAACCTGTAAGGAATTGGTATATGACATCAAATAATGTGTAACATAGTGCATGTTACGGAAACATGCTTAAGAAATATTTTTCATACACTAAACAAATTTCATTAAGTTATTTAGTTAACATCTATTTTATGTGCAAATTTGAAATTAACTGAGATACAAATCCTACTACTTGTTGATAAGTAAGTAGTGTAGTGTAACCTACACAAGAGTATGTGAATCGAATATGATGGAGAACTTATTTGATGATCACATCAAATTAGAAAATTATCTACTTTGTATCAACTTAACGCAAATTTTATTCTAAGACGAGTTGTTTCAGATGAAAGGCTTTGGATGCTAGAACGGACTGTCAGTAAGATATTTTACGCTTCCCAAATCATCATTATCGAAGAGTCACATTCAGTGTTTCACCAAAAAATTAAACAGGATGTCAACAGTTGTGTTGCACTCCGTTGTGTGTATATGTCTCCCATGCATGTGTTTCTGTGCATATATGAGGGAAAGCAATCGTGATTTACGGTTAAGAGTGGATGAACACATACCTTAATGGCTACGGTATCAAATGACAAATATCTTACTTCGCAGAACATGTGGTTGAGACGGGTCATAGGGTTGATATTAAGTCAGACTTAGTAGTGCTACAGAAAAGTGTGCATAATAGAGTTTATCAAAACCTTGGGTTTACGAAAACTGAAACTACTTTTATGTCTTTAAAAGCAGTTTGATCTTAATCTTAACCTACCCTGTCAGCAGTGATTTATTATCCAGCGTATTTTTCACATTGTTTTGACGTCCTCCACTTTATCATCATTCTGTTTGTTTCTTTTTGTGTATAATATCTTAAGAAGTATATGTGTGATCAGAATATTCGAAATGTATTTGCCAAATATGTCACATAATTCTGTTAACTTTCTTATTATCATTGCATTATATAAATGTCAATATTGAAAAAATCGATAAAATATACCTGCAGTGTTTTATTGGATCTGCAAGTGTTGATCAAGCTAGTGGTTATCTGGACTTAATAGTTTGGGGTTTAACGTACTGACCTTTTGGTAAAAGGTAGTGGTTTTGAGCCTTAGTGTAAACTTTAACACTGTAGTACAAGAATATCATGAAGACGAGTGCTAAACAGGGCGAAACGCACATTTTGCATTCTGTCGTCATCCACAATCTATCTGACCTAGATATCGTTTATGTTTAGATTTTTAACTACCATTGATACCATTAGATCTAGATGTTCTAGGTGAAATGGTTCGTACGTCTGTTTCTGACAAGTTGAAGTAACATGATTTTGAATTCTATACAGAAACTACCATGAGATAATGTTCTCAAGGTGCGGACTATTTTGTTCATACATAAAATGTAAACCTGTAAACCATAGCACGCAGTCCTATCAGAATACTACACTTATGAGATTTCAATTGGTTGAAGGCTGACACTGTTGCGAACTTTTTTCGCCATAACCCAAAACTTATATTTCTCAAAGTTCAACCATTATTATTTGATAAAAGGAATTAGTTTGTGTAATAGAAATAAGTGCTAAACATGTTCAGGTGCGCACTTTTTTCTCACAAATAATTATTTATTTTAAACATGAGGTCTTGTGAATATTTCAGAATTTCCATGGTTTAAATAACAAAATGAGCTAAGCTAGATCACCATTGATAACCGGAAGGTTCCAGATCCTAGATTTGATCTTCTGTGCAATGTCGTGGATGAACAATAGCGAGGAGCCCCATGATAGGTTGAGACATGTTCAGTGATTTTAGATTTCAATGGAGGTTTAGCTAAGATTGATCTTTGATTAAAAATTACGAAATCTATTTATTTTTCGAAAAGTCGAAGTTGTTTTACTAGTATAGGGAAATAAATTTTCTTATGTTACTTTTTACCAGTGATCCCACAATGCTAGTGGGACAACTCCATAAAATACAAAATTAAACATAGTTTGTGGGAATGGACACAAAATTATTGGACAGCAGATTTAAGGAGCGTAACCATGGAAGGTGTGAAAGATTCTTCACCAATGCGCGGACGAGTGTTAATGATAAATTCAAAACACCGTTGTCTCAAAGTGGCTTGAGCTGATCGACAAGAAGCTCTGTATACCGGTTTCATACCGCTTGGCGCTTGTCAATAAGGTGTACCCATATTCTTTGGAAAACTGATGGTTCCTTCAAAACCCGCATCAATCGACTTCATATTCTGAAATGTTACCACTGAGCTATTCGACTGTGGGAGTAGGTGATTCAGACATAGACCTCCAAGATTGTAGGTATATTTTGCGGACCTATGTCCACGGTTGACTATCGATTACCTTTAACAATTTAACACACCAATATAATGACTGCGATGTCACGTCACTCAAACTATGTCAACCCAGGAAGAAATATAAAATCAGAATTTTTCTATCTAACGTAAATTTATTTAATTTGAGTTTTAAATTTCAATGCAACCAGTCAATAGAGCATACTTCGGTATAAAAGCTTCAAAATGTAGCAACACAAATTTTGTACAAAATTAATATCTAAACAACAATTTTTAAGTGCAATATGAAATCACTGAAGATAAGTATGCGTGTAATACATGTTTTACGATATCCAATTTCGTAGGTTTATAGTTCCATTACTATATTGAACAAGACTAACAATAGATAAGATTGACACTTTTGAGTTATGCATAAAAGTAACCTGTAGAGACGTAGTTGACATTAAACAAAAGGGAGGCCTTTTTTGTGGTCACAGCACGTGGTAAAACAATGATCCTCAAAAGCGACAGAGAGAAAGAGAGTGGGAGGTGAGATTGGCTGAAACTAAAACCTCTATTGAGAATAAGTGACAACTACGTCAAAAATGTAATAGCAATCCACATTAACATGAAATTTCGGTGAAAATAACATAACTGAAAAATAATTTGGCAGAAATGATGACTGCGTAAATCACGAGTGACAATTATATTACTGGTGACAAAACTAATAATAATTTTAGAAATGAATTTTTATTTAAGGTGGTAGTTTGAAGTATAAGATGGATTTAAGAACTTTTTATTAGTAATCAATGTAATAGGTTTTTAGCATTGGTGTTTGGTAAATAACCAAAGCATTGGGATGATGAGAATGTATTATAAACATAAGAGAGAGAGAGAGAGAGGAGGAGGAGGAAAGATAAAGATCAGTCATTTCGTTTACTTGTGTTACTTAAAGGGTTGAGGGATACTGGAAAATACTAAATACACACATTCCAACTGATATTAAAAAAGAGAGATTTATTCGTGCTGAAGTCTAGTGGAAGTCAATAAGCAATGAAAAAGTTCCTAAATTTTGAAAATTGTTGATACAATGAGATGTTCATCGATTGGCATTATTGAATTGTTCCTTCATTACAAAGTTGTTTGATTTTGAAAATGGTTCTATATATTATTAAATGTGAAGGTATTTCATTTTGAGATTTCAGTCTGAAACCAAAGTGAAAATCAACATTACTTTCTAATTCAGACTCACGAACTGGGCAATACAATGTTGTATTCACGATTTGTATATTTGTATTCAAGTCAATTATTTTTACAACGAAAAATGTGTTTATCCGATGTGGTTAAGAAATATTCTCCAATGTAGTAATTGAATAGTATACATGTTTCTTAGTAAGCCTGGTTATTAAAGTATCTAGCACAACCTTAGCATAAACAATGGAAAAACTTCGACAGATTTAATAATGTTAATGTCACTTTAATAAATATCATAAATCATTTTTTTTCAAATTGTTTACGGATAGATAATAAGTAGGCAGTTATTCTAAAGTCTTAAATGATCCAGTTACTTGATATGATTTAAGCGAACAATATTCAATTACACTTTCAAAATCCAGAAATACAATTGCAATAATAAGCATTTAACCTTAAATACTGTACATACTAATCGAGATTTATATAACTGAAAAATTGATAATTATGTTAGTATGGAATCAAAATGTTTTATCCATTCATTATTTACTACATTGTTTAATGGAGATTCTGTACAAGTCATAAGTAATTTTATCCAAAAGAACTAATAATGGTTTACTTCCGATTCAAAATCCCTAGAATTGTAACAATAAGAGATAGAATCTACTGCTTCCAAGTTTTGTGATGATTATACTACTTTTAAGTCCTTAAATTGGAATTCAGTAGTTCATAATCTGTTTGACTTACAATTATAATGTTCATTTGTTGTTATCATCAAGTTATTATCGCGCGCTGAGTTGGTTGATGTCACATACTATGTAATTAGGATTTTAAGGAAATTCATATCAAGGGTGGTCATATTATGATATATACTTTCTGTTGGTTTTCATGCTGTTCGTAACACAAGAAAACTCTATTTAACTTTGTTATTACATGTTTATCCAGTTGACGCTGAATATTAATTCTTAAATAATGAAAAAAAGATGTACGGAATCTGAAGTGTGACTGGCTCTTTGAAGTATTCTTTTCTTTCATTACTAAATTGTGACCATGTGTTTTTGATAGGTCCCGATAAACATAATGAGTGGTAACTATAGGATCCTTTTATGGACCAATACTAAACGTATAATTGTCAAATAACTAAACCATTCATATTCATGTTCCTCTTATTATAAGCTTTATTTTGACTTATGAACTATTAGTATAGGTTTTACCATTCTTGAATTATGTCCTGTATATTAGTCACTACCTCCCACATTCACAGCCACATTTTGTACAAATGTTGTTTTTTATTTTATGCTACGTTGTGGTCTGTTTGATTGGTATATAAACTCAGCATGTTTGGAATATAATGATTCATATTGCAGAGGCTGAGATTGGCGTTCTGGACTTAACTGGCTGGGCTAGGCGGAAAGCGGGATCAATCAGGACTCCAGGCTGCTCGCACGTGTTTACGCGACCTTGGTGCGGTCGACAATTCACTGCTCTCTCATTGGCGGTCACAAGTTATAACAGTTATATAATGCGATAATATATATTTGATTCCAGAAATTTAAGATGATCTCAAACAATAATGTTTTTAAAGATACAGGATGTTTCTGAACATTTAAAAAATATTCTTAACTGAGTGTTAGAACAGATCATTGAATTTATCTGCTAATCAACCTATGTTATAATTCATTGCTATAGACGGTTTATACCATCTAATAAATAATTCACTTGACTTTTTCACAATAATCGATAAAGCTCTCCCACTAATAACATGTTACTAATCACTTATTGTGACTATGAGGGTTAAACTGAGCTTTTATGCTCAAGTTTAGGGAATAATTCTCATCTTTATAGACTATAAAGTGATAAATGTAACAAAGACTTTGTTAAGAAAATAGATAATAATTTGTCAAGGATTCATGATTGCGTTTATGTAACTGAGTCAAATTTCACACTTTCGTTTGGTAAATATTACAGTAGTAAATTGGGGTTGTTACGTTTGAGTGCTCATAACACAAAATGGTCATACAAGGTTGTTGTTTGTGTTTCTGTTGTTATTTTATCAGACAACTCTTCATCAATGTTGATAAGATTTTTTAAAAGTAGAAATGCGATCAGCATATTCAAGAACTGCATTCATTATCGTTAAAAGTGTTGATTCACAAAAATTATGAAGAATTATATTAGAAGGGGTTTTGTGGCTATTATACTCATTTTAATAGCTGAAATCATGAGTAAATTAAAGCTAGACCACCATGAAAAACATGGATTTTTTTAAAATACAGAAAATGTTTTTTCGCTAAATGGCAGGTTCATTCCGATTGAAAGTTATAGGAAAGGGTTAGAGGACCTTCAAACTTTCCAGCTTTAGTTAAATCCACTGGACATTTATTTTAGAAGTCAACTGTCTTAGATTAACAAAGATCTAAAAGCCTTAGCAACTACATTTACTTTTATAAGCGAATTTAGATGATCGCTAGCAGTGGAATCTTCATCAGCTTGGTATGCCTGAATCTCAGAGTTTGTGTTCACACCGGAACCCAGACTCGGTGACGTTCGCTTCAAACTCCATCACGTTATCGACTTAGCTTATTAGTTCAGATAGCCACTAGCTTGTTCAATCGGGTGAACTTTTAATTCATTTGTGCTGATTGTTTGAATCCTCCTTTTGATGTTTAGGACAGGAAATTAGTCTCTTTTAGCATACATGGATTCAGTGTGAATTGCCTGGATATCGCCATTAGGTCACAGGCATATATTTTTGTCAAGAAACAAGTTCCCATGAAAGGTTACATTACAGCTGAACACGTGGATAGCTTTATAAGAGTGAAGCTTCAGATATTCACAGAATTAAACGACATAGATACACATATATCAGCTAATAATAGTCAGATGGGTTTTTGTGGAGATTGTAGTAATTTCAATGGTTAAGATCATGAGTCAGTGACTGGCTTCACGAGGTATATCCAGAAGTTCTAGTGAGAAGTAGTGACCAGCGGAGTTCAACCAGGTCCGTTGTGAGATAGTAACTCACTGAAGACAATGGTGAATGTGTCGTTCAATTTCGTGGATTAGTTGAAGTTAGACATTAACACTGTTGGATGCCGGCTCAGTGGTCTAGTGGTTAAGTGCCCGGGCGCGAAACCAGCAGGTCCTGGGTTCGAATCTCGCAGGGGCGAGGTAGTTGATGCGCACTGCCGAGGAGTTCCACAATAGGACGAAACGGCGGTCCAGTGCTTCCAGGCTTTCCATGATGGTCTAGCTTCAACTGACTCATGATCTTAATAATAGTCAATCAAACAGGCTACATTTTTCAGTTATTCAGCATCAAACATTCAAACGTATTATGAATAAGAACTTTCGTCTAAATTTGAACGAATATTTTCACAATATTTGGGCGCCGAGTTAATGTGAGTCATTAAAGAAGAAGAATATATATTTGAAAAATCTCAACGAATGAATTTTAAGTATTATTCGCAGTTCTGTAGCTTTTGTAGCTAACCTTTCTTTCATCTGTAATAGGTACAATCAGATATCAATGGACAGAGTTAATCAATTACGGAATTTTGACAAAAATTATGGTTAAATAGAAACATGTTACTATATTGTATCATTTAATTCATATATTTGGACGATAAACCAACTTCAATGAATATATGTTTTATTCATAGTGCACAATTTGTGGACTCATAGGAGCTAAAAAAAATTTCAGTCAATAATACTTTTTGAACAGAAAATGAATTACTGATAGAATGTGAACAAAATCATCCTATTGTTTTGTTAAATCTGTTTGTAAATCGAATTCCCATAAGCTCACTTAGAGAAACAGAAAAGAACACAATCTCTGGTAAACATATGTCGTAAGGAAAAAAGGGAATACAGGTCGAAATTGAAGTGTGATCAGTAGCGATCAGATGACACTGACAAAGGAAGCTGCAAGAAAAAAAAGCAATTTGCAACGGATTTCGATGACGAATAAAAATGGTACCGTCGAAAAAGTTTTCGCGTTTGTTAGTGTGAAACAAACAAAATAAAAGAATACTGATCAAGTTTATTTGCTTTTAAAATTAAAATGTAAACATCTAAAATAGGTATTAGGATTCGAAGGCATAAAATCATCTTATATGTTTCAGAATAGAAGTACTAGAACTTGATTAGTAAGAACAGAAAAGCAAAAAAAGTTCGTCCAGTGATCAATAGTTTATCTGAATTTTTTTGTAAAAGGAGGAATCCAGAGCACACACACCTTTAGAGAAGATTAATGTATTTTCAAAATCAAAAAGATGTCTATACAACCGCTGCATAACGAAAGAAAGCACATGCGCCGCACAAACAAAGAAGTAAACATTTAGAAATCTGTATATACGAATAAGTAATAAGGTTAATGAAAATATTCTGGTCCACAAGAGAAAGTGAACTGAAAAAAGGTTAAATCAATGTTTTAATTCTGAGAAATACTCGAAATGTGCAGTAGTACTATTATAGTGGTTATATTCTGTAAAATAATTTCTCATAGACACGATATGAAATGACTTCATTGTTCAACTAGGAAGCCATTTTCTCTTTTTCATGTTAATGTATAAATAGTCCACCATTTTGACTGAAAATAATTTCCTTTAGTGCACATTAAATATTTGTAAGGAGATATTGATATAAACTTCAACTCAATATTTGTCTTCAATAAAATGATCAAGTTAAAGAAAAATAGAGAGAAGGACAATAAGCAAACGGAATAACAGAAAATGGAATAATAAACAGTTAAAGAAACGAAAAAAAACAATGTGTATACCATTAGAAAAATCATTTGATAAATATTATCATTATTAAAACGGAAGGACTAAAGAAAGATCAGAACAATTAGGGAATAAACAAACAATACTGGAATTTTGCTTAAAGATAGTTGTTCAGAAAGAAGAATGATAACTAAATAAAAGGAAAAACAAGACAAATTGAAATGTATCTTGTAACCAATTTTGTTTAGAAGACTTGCTATTACTTGATTCTTTTCTGGATCATTGAACGTTATATGTCAGATAATTATAATTAAATATTGTTATCACTGAAATATGGGTAAGCAAAAAAACAGACAAAGTACATTGCTGAGAGTTAAGTAATTACATAACAAGAAGTAAATTATATTTTACTTAGCGAACTAACCTTGGTTAGACAATTATTGAAGCCAGAAAGCACTAGACAACTGTCCTAATCTCGTGAAGGAATCTTCAGCAATGTGATTCTGTGGTACCGCCGAAGGTTAGACGAAAGATATTCAGTCAATGCAATATATGAGAAAAAACAATCTCCACAAACCCCTTACGTCAAAAATAATATATTATCAGGGTGAGGATTTGTGGAGATTGTAGTATTTTTAACAGTTGAATTCACGAATCAGTCTAAACTAGACTACCATTGAGAACCTAGTTATTTTATTCACTAACGAACTCATTGTCTTCTGACAAAGAAAACTATTTACAACGCGAAGGCCTGACAAACTCCATTACTGATCCTGACTAATGGTGTCGAAAGCTATGACAAGAATCATTAACTTTCAGGATATGAAACAAAACAATCTGAACTGATAGATATTCGTTTAGAATTCTCTTACTTGGTCACTAAGTACACTGTATTAGTAAACACTTTCGATATTTCCACATCAAATGGACGAATTCAAAAAAGATCATCGAAATTTAATTATATAAAGACTGTTAAGGAATTGGATATTGAATTCAACTTCTATCAGTGAGTGACTGTCATGGGAAAAAAGCGAGAAGCAAAAAAACATTATTTTTCAGAAGCCTTTACTGGTTGGAAGTGTATAGCCAATAGGTTACAGCTTTTCAAAGAAAACAACTGACAAAAAAACATGGAATACTATGAAGCAAGCGTCCAGATACGAAGAAAAACCTTACCTTAGCTAATGCAGACTTTGGTGAACGAGATGGTGGTTTTATTCCACTAGGCAGAGGAATAGAAGTATTATTCATCGGTACAGGCATATGAGATTGTCCACTAACAAGGGGTGGCATTATAGACGGTGCAGGTATACCAGAATTGGCGATCGGTGAATTTCCTGATAAAGGTCGGAGCTTAGATTGAACTTTACCATGAGATGAAGAAGGTGAAATTCCTAGAGGTCTAGGTAAACCACTAGGATGTTCTAAACTATCCTCTGTAATTGATTCTTGTCTTTTTATCAATTCGCAGGTTGGTTCAACGCTTGTAGGAATTTGTTTTTTGTTATGTGTCATATCATCATCATGTGTAGACATAACTGATGTGTCGGTGGCACTAGGATTGGTATGTCCGTTAGTAGTAATTCTAGACTTCATTTTATCTGGGGTAATAGATGGAGCTTTAATACCACTTGGTGGACGAATTCCAGTTACACTAACTGACGCGGAGCATACGACGGGTGGTGTACTCGGTGTATTGTTCTTCTACGAAAAAAAGGAATAATATGATTAACAAAGAAACATTGTATAAATTGTTATCTAATCTACCGCCAAAAATTATGTCATCGTTTTTCACAAATGTACACATACAGTTGTAACAAGTTTTTACAAAGTTATAAACACACCAGAATTATATGGTTGGTTTTTATGGAGAGATTGAATCAACTTAATGTAAAATAAAGAGGAAATGTGTTTTTAACTGAAGCGATAGTTAAGATAAAGTCTCAGATTTTCATGCGAATTGCTGGATACCAATCTTGTTGGTTTATAACTAAAACTAACTTTAATAAATAATAAATAAGTTTACAATAATGAAAGAGATTCATCATACCAGTGAAGAAATAAAGATGATTTAATAAAAAAAATTTTCTTTTCGATGATAATGTGTTAGTAAACCAGAAAGAATAAATCGCAAAATCATTGAGAAAATATTTCAATTTGTTAAACTTTGTAATGTCACCTTCCACACAGTTTTTGATTATTGGATATTTGAAAAATAATAGATAAACAGAAATTTTTTGGAATACAGAGAACGTAGTAATCCAATGGTTTTAGTTTGAACTGTCTGTGTAAGAGCAACATGTGAGATATTTCATTGTACTATGAATCGGTCAGACCATAATCTATGGACGAACTAATCGGATTTAAGCTAGCGAAACTTGGCCTTTGTGCGAAATTCAGTCTTCATATGGTTAATTAATGTTTTAGCATTATATATGTCAGTTCGCGATGAAAACCCTAACTCTAATTCCTAAGAATGACTTATAATGCAAAGTCATAGTCTTAATTGCTTACGTAAATTTATATTCCTATTTTGAACTTGATAAATGATTGAAGCTTCACAAGGTCAATTAAGTATCGGCAAAAGGTCTTCCATAAATTCTAATTTCGTTACCTATAGATTGCTGCACAGTTCACATGTGATACTTGATATTTTTAAATAATTTACATGGTGTAATCATTTCCTATTTTTAGGTAGATTACTGTATCTAATAAGTCACTGTAAACATGATTCCAAGGCTTGAAGTAAATAACATAATTGAACAAAAAAATTACAAGTCATTTTGATTTTTAATTCTAAATATCTCTTCGAAATCAATTCATCAGCTTAATTAACAAACTTCAGCCAAATACAAATGTAGGAATTGTGGTTATCCATATATCAACTACTATTTACAGCTTTTTTCCTATGTAATCATTGATTGATAACGAGAACTGACCAAACGATTATTGGCTTAAACGAGTTATCTCCTGAACTACTGAGTCCTGATATCCACTAGCTTGCGGGACGGGTGTGAAGTTTATTTCTAACGGTTTGTATTTTCCTGTTTATGACGTTAATGATTGTAATTGATCAAACTCTGTGAGGGAGGGAAATACATACTGCCATGTTATCGATTTTTAAATGTCCTTATAAGTGAAGTTCAAACAGAATATCACGATATAATATATTTGACAGTTGAGCATTAATTGATTGAAACAGTTTTTCGGCATGAAAAGTTAACTTACTTCGGGAGAATCTATTTTATTATGATTTTTTATACTTTCTGGAGTATGAAATGAATTGGACATTGTGTTATTATCATTATTATGTGTTACATGGTTGGAACTGAAAGATTCATCAACTTTAACGGTAGTAGAAGTTACTTTTGTAGTGCTTATTTTGTTTAAATCTGATGTTTTTACAGTAAACGAAGGTGGTTTAATACGCGATTGGAATGAATCAGAAGTTAATATAGTTGAAGGTGAAGTACTATGAGCAATCTTGCGAGAATCATCTTCCATTACATGTTTGAAACCGTTTAAAGTTGGCTTTATATCATTTGAAATATTATTATTCGTATCGGATTTAACTGTTGTATATGGTTGTGGAGCGTATAAACTTGTGGCGTGACTAACTGTAGACTTGACATTATGATCGTTATATGAATTGACATTTTGGAAATCTGGGATGTTATAATTATTATTATTGACATCGACTGATGAAGCAACATTGTTATTAGCAGAAACCACACTGACAGAATGTGCTATAACAGGTTTTATAAATGATCCAGTGACACAACTAACATGCTCTGAAGTAGCCTGAGGATTCAAACTATAAATAAATAAGGGGAAAAATTGATCTTATAATCAATACACCTTTAGGTCACTATTAATATATAACTTGACATTGATTTCTCAAAATCAATATTAATAACAAATAAACCAATATGAACATCTCTCATAGTTCCTTTATACTTATTGCTTTTTTCAATAATCTTTAGTAATGAAAAAATTTCCGATATTATGACATAATGCATCTACATCAATATAGAACAGATAAATTAGTGGCTAGGAGCGGGAAAGCTATAATAAATATAAAAAAACGAATAAACTAAAGTCTAACCATAACAAATTTAAGGAAAATATTCACATTTAGAGTGTCATCTTTTTTAATTATTGATCGTGTGAAGCAAGTGCAAAAGAAACAAGAAAGTGTTATTATTACAGATATTCTCGACCGATTTGATTGATTGAATTTTGGTTATAATGCAGTAAACTTTCATGATTGAGGTTGTCAAAACTATCAAACAAATAGCATAAATTATATTGAAAAAAATTGTCTTGGTTACCAAACAAGACAATATTAAAAATATATAATTAAGTATCATTGTGCACCAACAAAATTAATCTAAACACACAGACATATATTAACTTTATTTAAGATGTGACTTAATAGTTCAGGCAGTCAACTTAAATTCATAAGGTAGCACGTTGAAACCATCCATTCTACGGTGACTATAGTTTATGAAACACGATAATAACAACAGATCTCATAAAAAAGCAAGGATTAGAGAAGAACACATAAATTTGCTTATTGTAAACACAGGTTGAATTATTTATAAAAACGTCAGTAGGATTTACAGCAGCAAACAAATATCGCTTATAGGGGCGGTTATTTCACGCTTAGTTTAACTATTTGAATGGCTGTATCATAGGCGATTTAGTTAATCTAATTATGGATAACAATGTAAGTGACAAAATATCATGACCTAATTTGATGGATTAATCAATATTGATTAATTATTAGTTAGTATTATTCAGTAGAATAATTTTTGTTATCATCAATATTATTATTTATTACTAACTGAAGTGATTATGCTAGAAATAATAGTGGTAACTAGGATATGATTGACTGGATTATACCTAGATAAATACTGAATACGAATAACGATCTATTTATGTTAAAAAGTATTGTGAATACAAATGAATGTTTATTATTTCACACGAGAAAATTATCATCTCTTCAAGTTGCAATGAATATACGAAAAGAACACAATAACAACACATTATTATAAGAAAACATGAGCGTATTGAAGTAGTAGAGTATTTGTTTCTTGTTTTTTTAAAAAAGTAAACAATTGAACTTGGTGTGTACGCGGCAACATCATCTATTCAGTGACCAACTTACTTATACACACTGACCTAGACAAAGAGTTGGTTTGTTTCTCATACTATTTTAAATGAGGTCTCGTTTTATGAAGAAGAAAAACAGTACATTTGAAGTTTATCAATATAATGGATTTAGATGAAACGAGTTCAGTGTGTTCTATGCTAAGCGAAATCGACTAACAAAATTAGCGGTGTGACTGTAGTCTACTGTGATAATTTGTTCACGGAATCACTTTAGGAATAAATTGGCCCTTCTCCAATCCAAACAAACAGGCATAATCATCATTAGGTACTTGAGTGGAGAATTCAAGCTACTCTTCGTGAACAACATAGTGTATATAAGAGTTGAGTATATGTGAAAATGCAAGTGAATTATTTACTAAGTGTATGATTATGTATTCAGTTTTAAGCCACTATGAATTCTAGTAATATTATTCAAAGTAGATGAAGGAGTTCGAACCTATAACCTCTTAGTTGAAAAATGAGTGCTTTAATTAATTAGTTCACTATTCTATGTAGTAAAACGAGGGGACAAAGTAGTATTGATAAAAAATAATAGTATATTTACAACATTAAATACTGAAAGGAGGAGAATATCATGAAATATTGCTTGTTATTATTCATCTTAACTATACCGATCCAAATGTAATATGAAAATTGGGATTTACGTAGAAAAAATATGTGTCTACACAGTAACATCACATATAATTGAATGAATCATTCAACCGTTATAAAATTGTTTTTTCTAATTGTGATCTATTTGTGTGTGTGTTTTACAAAGAGATAACAAGATTAATTTGAAGTGCATTTTGGCTTGTACATTTTTTCTTTACCACACATTCATGGTTATGTGAATTGACATACAATAAAAATAAATGTATGGATTGTACCATTTCAACTTATTGATGATATTAGATATTTCCGAAAAGAAGACGAAACAAGTGTACATTAAAATGATACTACAAGTAGTTAACAGTAGAACAGATATGCATTATAAGACCATTGAGAGAAAATACATCTCTAGAAGGAAGTAATTTAAACGGAATTCAAACAAACTGACGAACTATTATAGAACATCATTTCGAAAAGTTGTTAAATTTACAACAAACGAGGTGGTGTCCTAGAGATGAAAAAACTCATTGGTCAAAGAAAATTCCTTGTAATCATTAAATAATGATTTCAATTATATCATAGAAACCACTGCTTATAACCGAACAAATTCAGCTGAATTATAGCTTCATGTCCTACAGACATATATACGACCAAACTTTTAAAAGACTGCCGTTACCATATAAACTTTTCGACGAAAGATGCTTGTGGGTGTAAGAGAAAGTTTGAAGGAAATTGAGGGTAGACAAATCAAGACTTAGTACCAGTCCACGAAGTCATCGACTGTTTGATTGGTGTTGGGTGACATGACTGATAATCCCGATTTCAAAATTAATTTATACTTTTTTGTTTAGAGGATTCATTTTTTCTCGAATCATATTGTTTATACCTAATTTTTTATACTACCACTAATATTGTTACTACTTCACTATTCCGACATTTGTCTTGATAATTTAATCTCAATGTAGTGATGATCGTGCGATAACTCGGATCGATGGATATGTATAAGTGGCAGGTTTTACGGTGTTCATGAATTACTGACTTTTGACAAATAGAAATGAACAGAAATGACACAAAAAATTTAAATAGATAAAATCAGTATTACTTTTCATCATCAGAAATCTTCTTTTCTACAACGATTGTATCCAATTTCGATTGTACAAAGTGTGTATTAGTAACATTAGAATTAATGGCTGATGGGATAAAATTCTTCTGTCCTGACATTTCAGTATGTACTAAAGATGATGAATGTGAAATTGTAGCAAGATTACCATTTGTTGGAATTGTCGATAATGAAAAGATACTTTCATTTGTACATTGTTTTGAAAAATTATCTTCATTGATAGTTGTTGTTGCCCTGATGTTGTTATCGTAGTATTTATCATGGGGCTGATGTTTAACGGTTCTTTATGAAATGTTGAATTTGATTTATTCATAGCAACAGATGATAAATTATTGAATGACGATAACTGAGGTGAAGATAATTCATTTGAAATGGATTTCATGGGTGTCGTCGTTGTCATCATTGAAGTATTAGCGATGGTGTACGAGAAATTGTTAACAGGTACAGAGGAAACAATCGTTGAAGATTTATTCATTAGTAATGAACTAAAGAAAATTAAAGATAAAATGTAGTAAGTTTTAATCAATTATTTGAAATTGTTGTGTAGAAATAAGTTGAAAAGAAATTTTCGAAACACTACAATAAATTCTAGCGAAAAGATGTAATTTTTAGGAGTTGAAAATATTAGACACTATATGATTTGAGTGGAATCGCGTAGTCTATTACAAACAGACAGTCACTTACAGATGACAATTCAGTGGTTGTTATATGATCTAGAGATTCTGCTAAAGAGCTAGAAGCTTAGAATTGAGCAACGACCATAGGAAAACTGATGATATTTGGACGACACGAACAAAAAAGAACAGTAAAAATTAATATCAGAGAATAAGAAGAATCCAATTCTTTTATGCATTGTTTGCATACTAAAATTATCATGTAAATAGATAAGAAAATGTGCACCGATCTGAAATAGAGGAGGGAATTAAGTCCGGCCACTTTTGTATCCCAAAATATTCACTTGAATTCCGGAACATTTATAGTATCAAAGATTTAGTTCTATGGGTCAGATAGATATGGTCACTGATAGAACTGTGAAAAAATAACGCTAATCAAATTACTCTGAAATACAATAATTTCAAAGTTTTAATATTGCAACAGATGCTGAAAATCTTGCACTATATATCACTAAATACATTATATTGGATTAGACAATACCACAAAACAGTTTGAAAAACTCGTAACTTAGCAAATTAACTTAACGTTGGATACTATCTAGCAGTGAGATTCAGGATATGTTCGATCATATTTGATGCACAAGTTTTAGGATGTAACTGGGGATTTCAATGTTGATGTTTGTTTCGAAATCATAACAACAAAAATTGGGAAAAAAACACAAACCTATAAGATAAAATGATTGAAGTTCTTATTAAAAATCATTGGAATCAAATTCAAAACACGAGTAAGATTTATGGTCTCTAGCTGCCAGGAGCACCAGGGAAAGTTTTATCTTCGTGGAAACGGTTTTGATAAGATATTTACCTTCACCACTATAATATTTAGCATGGATCCAGAAATTTCCAAAAGCCCAAGGTCGTGTGTAACTCCATAAATATTCCTGTTTTTCTAAACCATGAAATAAAACTATTACTCATATTTCCCGCCTTCAATCTACTGTTCCAATTGACGTTTCAAAGTAGCTGAAGTTATCGGAACTGATTGGGAAGATAGTTTAGGAGTATAGGTAACAGTAGATATACACTCGATATTCAAACAAACTTTAATATGTAACTACATTAAAGTTAATTTATAAGTTGATTAGTTATTAAATGACCAGAATAATTTGACCGTCTACATTTCGAAGACAATTAATGTATCACAAATCTAATACAGTATTAACTTGGATATATATTCATCACGTAGAGATAAATTTATTATGTTTCTTTAAATAAAACAGGTGAATCTATTCACAGTCAATCATTGACTTAATGAACAAATGTAAATTTATTGAATTCATTAGTTATTTCTTTTTTAATCATAAATTATAAACACATCTTAGCATTGTAACAGAGGCAGTAATCTTACGCTTTTTAAAATGACAAAAATATCTCAAAATGTCATGACTATAATTTAGTCAATGATTCACGGCATCAAAATTTGGTCAACTCTTCACAACTGAACATATACAAAACTATTAAATCAAACAAAATTTCGGTATAAACCAAGTTCACAAGTTTCAAAGCACACATAATGTGTATCAATGTTTGTAACAAGTGTGATTAATAGTCGTATTTAAAAAAAAACAAATCACTAAATGAAAAACTTGAATGGTTGCAAATTTATTCGCCGACACCAGTAGTTAGTTAATATACAAGGAAATTATTTTATCATTTAACAAATGCATAAAAAAACGTGTTGGTAACTAGTTTAGTTAATTGGATATTTTTCAATGACTATTGATCGACTTCTGAAATAGTATTCTTTAGATGGTAGCTTACAAATTGAAAAGTTTTATTTTTCTTAGACATTAGGAAGTAGTAAGCGAGTAAAGTGGTACAAATTGTCATCTTAATTTGGTAGAACTAATTATACTCGGCAACGTTTTAATAAATGATATAAAAAAGGACAAAGATGAATGAAGTCATAATTTTAAAATATAAATATTATATGGAGAAATATTTTCATTTACTAATAAACCGATTCACTCTAGGTAGACTATCGAAAGTAATAATTTGATCAATCTATTCATCACTCTAACAATCAAGTAGATAATTATTCGATCTTTGATGAAACAAACAAAAATTTGACCTACGATGTCACTTATATTCACATTTGGTTATCTTATCTAATAGTTGATTTAGTGATCTGGATACAAAAGAAGCAGTACATCATGAACCAGAATTTTATTGTATTGCCGGGTAAATAAGTATAGCATTTGATATTGAATAAAGTGAGTTTTACTTACATTTTATCTTATCAATCTACACTTAGCTACTGAGGAATAAACTAGTAATTTCAAAGTGAATGTAGTGATCTTGAGAATTTAAACGAAAAAAAGCTTATAGCAACACAAATGGCTTGGGAATCAAGGGTCGACGATTCTTGAGTACATAACACAGATTTCTTTCTTACTTTTTTTGATAGAACATTTTGCACAGTAGATAAAAAGGACATTTTACGTGACTTCATATAGAACTGCTTCAAAATGTGCAGGTTCATTTACTCTTTATTTCTCGATCTTGAATTTCTTTCTATACATTGTCCCACTCTTTGTTCTTTGACCATATTCTTAATATTCAATCATTCTCATTAAAACTTCAACCAAATAAGTTTGATCTCATTCGCAATTCATTTTATATTCTTCATCTCGTCTTGTTAATGTGTTACGATAACTTGCTTGTATTAACTTACATCTGTCTTAGACTCTACGTTGAAGACGACTAAATGAATACAGTAATTGTGTAATGTTTGTGTTGCTCATTCTCGTTTTTATTTTACAGACAAAACGGTTTACTTACTGTAAAACTTGTTTATCACGTTCATTTAATTCTGCTTGTGCTTCACCAGCAGCTACTTCAATTGGTTCCACAACTACTGGTATTTTTTCATAATTCGTCGTGATAATGTTTTGCTGATTCAATTTGGAATTTGATATAAATGTTGTATGTGTAGTAGCTGTGATAGCTGATTGATTAGTAGTAATAATTGTAGGTGAGTTTATTTGAACAGATGAATACATAGGAGAATATGAAAATCTTTTAAGATTTTCATCATCAACATTATCATGAACTGAAGATTTCACTGTTATACAACAACTGTTACTACTAATATTACTTGTAACAAAAGCAACACTGGTAGTAGGTATGCCAGTAGTCGACATCGGTATTACATTGCTATAAGTTAGCAGATTATGATCAGATACAGAAGATGGCTGAACAGTTATAGTTGCCTCAATATTATTATTATCAACATCTTGTGTAGTTGTATTTGGATCTAGTAGTGTTGAACACGGTTTACGTTTAGGTACTTTCGATTTCATATTAAATGGTCTTGAAAAACATCTAAATCTGTAAAAAAAACAAAAGAAAGGAAATGAATATTATACTGTGATTTACCATACAACCCATTAAACAATATAGAAAGATGCTTTACGAAATTAAGTGTAGGAAAATACAATGAAGAACAAAAATTCGGTTTAGAATAAATATTTGCCTAATTTAAAAAACAGATATGAATAGTTGGATTGGACTATTGTATCGACTTTCGGATGGGATGAAGATTATTGAGAAGCCTTATGGCATCTAGGACAAAAAAACTGTTCAGTGCTTTTTGGCTTCCAGTGATTTCACTGGTTGAATTTGACCTGTTACGGAAACTATCTTCGAAAAACGGTAGTTGTATTAATTAATTATTTTAATAAAGTACTTATTCTTTGGATAGGAGATTATGACAATCGTTGAGAGGCAGAGCCCGTGAAATGCCTGTGTTATCGTTGAACCACTGACTGGGAATCCCGTAATTTTCAAATCAAAACCATCAACATAATTTTAAGTGGTAGGAAGATGCAGTACAGAATAAGATAATTAACAATATGGTCTCAGATTGTCGATACATCAACTGTTTTTAGGTAGCACAACTAATTAAGCCGATGGATCATTGTGTTGATTTTCTAGCCGAAACATGACAGTAATGTGTTACCTAACTGTGACTGTAAAACTGACAAATCATATGGTTGAAAAACTTACGTGATATTTATCAAAGTTCACCTTAGAAGCCTAGTTAGCATAAATGGCGGATGAATTTATATGGTAATTTATACTAGTTTTTGTAGTTGTGACTTGGTGGTTTACATTATCGAATTTAGATGAATAGGTTACCACCTTTGAACACAGCTGTATCATCAATCAAAACCTGTGTGACTCAGATGGTAACCAGTGAAGTTTGACAAAAAAAGAAAACTGATGGTATAAACCTGAACAGGAATTCTCGATAGTTATATTTTTTGTTTTGCCTCATAGTAACAACTTTTAAAACAGATATATAATATTATCCTTATGAACATTTCTAGTTCAAAACACTTGAACAATTTTCTTTCTGCGAGATTACTTAAATTTAAGAAATATGACATCACATTTTGCATTTTGATAAGTTTCACTAAACAGATACTTAAAAAAAGTTTACAATGATAACACAGTACTATGAGAATACAATGAAATTATAATATTTTTAAAGAGGACGATTGACAGACGAATGTCATAATGAAGAGAAAAAAAGAATAAAGAGGGGGGATAAGAGTAAGAAAGAAAAGCTTGTGATAAACAATAAATAAACGAAAATAACAAGGAATAATGTCAACAAAATGAGAAACAGGATATAAAATTTAAAGTTTACATAGAATGTACTGAATTTAAAATTACTAACTAAATAAAATACATTAGAGTAAGCATTAAAAGACAATAAAAAGAACAAATAAACCAAATACATTAGAGATCAATTCTTGTAATTAGATAAACATGGGCAGTAGCCACCAATATTCCTAAAGAATAACTGTTAAATACTCTTCTGTGATATTGAAAACTAGAACGATTGTCTAATAATGAAAATATTAAACATTCAGCACTATTGGATTCTGATTTTATAGATCATCAGACTGCGTTCTGTGTAGTTAGTCAGTTTGGAAGTAAAACCGAAACTTCATACAACTGAAGCATAACTCGAAGCCAAGTACGTAAGATCATACACGGTGAGTTTGTGCTACATTAATCACTAGATGAAAACAACTTTCATCAATACTTACTTTTCACAATAGTTTCTTAACTTGATACAACATAAACAAATTAGCATGATTAGGGATGATATATACAACTGAAAAACACCTTATACACAGTTGACGAGAAAACAATTCATTTCACATTAATTCCATAAACTTTACCAATAATATTGTGTTTAAACTCGTTAAGATAAACTTAAACATGATTTGTTAACAAAGTGATTTGAGATACAAACATCAATAAGGCTTTTTATATACACTGATACATTGGATTGTTCAATTAAATAAACAATATAGAGAATAACTTATGATAAGCATGAATACGATTAAACGAAAATCAGCACTATTTACATATTAATAAATTAAGTATATTTTTCTATAACCGAAGTATTAAGAATTAATTATATAGTTAAGAAACTATAGTAATAATATAGTAATCTCTACAAACACATTATTTATATATCTTTTTTTAAATCAAAACACCAATACAATAATTTTAAGTCGGTGAGTGCATTCATTGAATTGTCGTTGGTATTACCCATAAGCTGAACTATACATTTATGGTGTCCTTTATTGACTAACTGGTGTCAACTTGTGCAATCGAAAAACTAGTCTCATGATTATTTCAAACCACTTAGAAATGCAGAGTCAAGAATTTAAATGAGATTCAAACTACATCCTGCAACTATCATGAAGAAGAGGGTATTTTGAATACGTAAAGTTGGAATCAAATGACAAACATTTTCGACATCAATCAATTCGAACAATTAAGCTATTTAGGAGTGTAAAATTTGAACGGTCTCGTGGTTTATTTTTTTTTTGATTGACATTTGTCATGAAAGTACAATCAAAATGTACATAGGATCTCAACAAAAATCTCCTAACTTAATGAAAAAGTAAGCATTGGTATTCATGTGGATGATTAAAACGTAAAATTACAATATTTGCTTTTAAAGTGGGTTTTACAAACGTCTCTTTTATTGATAGATAACATAATGATATTATGTGAATACTCTACTTGTATTTACCATTGAGAAACAATCACTGCGAACCTATATCAGAAACTACGTAAATCAAGACAGATATGGAACAATTACTTAGAATATTGTCAGTATAATACTACACATTCTCATTTACATTATGTTTAGAATCAAGCTTATAGTTGTAATAGCACATAGACGATTAATGAAAATTAATCTCTCATTATGTGCCAAGGTTGAATTTGAGGGCTTCCAATAAATTGAGCACCGGGTAGAAAGTTAATGATAAATATATTTTTTGTTTTATCCCAGTGAGTAGAAAAGTTGTATTTCTGGCTTTTCGTGACTTAATGTAAGCCACTTCTTCAGAGTAAGTAAATAACCGAAATAGAATTATCACAAGTTTAAATAGTACGAGGGAAACATTGCAGAATATTTTTAGTACAATCAAGATCACAATAGATTTGAATTTGTCAATTTTAAGGTATTCTTGATTATGGTGAATTTGTATGACCTGTATGGTTATGAAAAATGTATGCATTTATAACATAAAGTAGTGGGGTCGAAATTGAGTGTGTGTATGTAGAAGGTGTGGAAAATAAACAACGTCAAATGTAGTTATTTGGATAAACCGTCCAGGTTGGATGAATAATTAGGCCTTCTTTTCAATTGGGCGCAGACGGATTTAGCATCATGTACATATACATAAAGTTGTGTTTACGGATTAGGTTGTGTCGATTATGATATATTCTACATCGAAATCCTCTCGTGAGATCTCGAATCGTGCCAAGCAACATGTAAGTTCGTAATAAATACAACCGAATTCGGTTATTTATTTACTCTGAGGAAGTGGCTTACATTAAGTCAAGAAACGTCAGAAATACAATTTTTCTACTCATCGGGACATAAAAAGATATATTTATTATTAAAGTACCATTGTGTTTAATACTATGCAATAAAATATCAATAAGATTAATAGTCAGAAATCATTGTAGCAAGTACGTGCAGACAACATATGTACACAAACATCTTTAAACTACACTTCATAAATATTTTTCGACATTATCCAGGAATGAACATGAATGAACACTAGGAAATCATAGACAAATAGTTGTGGAACATGTGAAACTATAAAATGAAAACAAAAACATATTTGGTTGATTGTAATAAAAAAGACTATAAGGAAAAGTGTATAATCACCATTTCATGTGTTATAAACCAATAGTTTACATTACAATGTTATTATGATTTTTCTTTATCTGTGAGTCATTAATATATAAAAAGAATATGAACAAACATTACAAAGAAAACAAGTAAACAGCTATAAACAATTATTTGTTCGTAGTAATTAGTATTCGTCATGGATTGATTTCAGCTGAGATGCAATAGAAAACTGCAAGTATGACATGGAAAATAATTCGTTTTAATATGCAAATTTTCAACAAGGTGCATCTAAAACTCATTGAGATATATTGATCCATTCTGGTTTTATGACGAGCGCCTTATCCTGGTGGGATCGTCCCAATAGTTGTAATACAATAACAAAATCTGAGATTCTGCACAAGTAAGTTTATTGTGGCCTGCTGACAGTAACTCGCTTTCGATTTTTCCAACGACATTCCTGGCTCCGGTTCGCCTTCCCGCTTCTTATTCTGAATGTCCATCTGGATAAACGAATGCTTAAAATTCCTCCAAAACAACCCGTATTTGGCTCCTTAGAATCACCGTCAAACAAATGGGGTTAGCCTAGGTAATATGCGAAGTTAAGCGGAAGATTTATGTACATAACATCTTCGTACGATCAAAACGGTGTCAGACACTGGGATACAAAACAACATCAAAAGAAGTATAGAACACATGAAGATTCTAGAAAACTGATTGTAAATGTATGGGATATAGTTTAGTTATAAAATGAAAGAGTTTACAAGGAATTTATTAGAGCTAATAAACAATGAAACAGTTTGGAAGAAAGAGCAACATTTTATTATATCACGTAAAGAGTCATCGTAAAGTAGATTCAACGTCTAAGATGAAAATCCCTTTTGATGTTTTGAGAACGGAGGGGTAAATAATCACTTTATAGATAGAGGTGAAATATGAGACCGTGACCATAGGTCGATTAAAACTAACATTTTTAGAAAGTCATGAACAAACACTAGCGACAAAGCTTCCGACGCTAGTAATAACACGAAAGCAAAGCGAACAGATTGCAACAAGAAAGGTCCTATTAAAAAGTACAGCAGTACTGGAAACATAATCGGATCTGATAGAAGAGTTTGCTGGCCAGAAATATAACTGACGTGCGCTAAACTCCTCTGATTCAATTTCGCATTTCACTTGATATTATTCAGATATACTCCATGGCATTGAGTTAAAGATATGAAACTATTTGTTGTTAGACCATGTATGTATCTTAATTACTTTCAAAACGCTGTACAAACATTGGTTTTCTAATTTTCTCCGGTTCCAAAGATCTTAGAAACAATTTTCGTTAGAGTTACATTTTAATACTAAACAATCTTTAAGTGTGTCCAGGACAGAGTGGGTTATAGAATGCTAGTCGGCGGCCTATGATCCATTGGGCGTGACAGGCGTGACATGTTTAAATGTTGTGTATTCACGTAGATGTACTAAAGGTAGCTTTTCATTCCAATTATAATCGCTACCAGCAGCTGTCAGAGGAGCTTTAAGTTAACGCCGAATTTTATCTATCATGGTAATTTCTCATTCATTTCAATACAGGAAGTATCTGTAAGTTTCTGCAATAACCTGTTTCCAAATTGTACACAGCAACTGGTCGTATTTTGTCTTGGTAATGCTCTCAAGTTAAATATTCAGTGTTTGATAAATCTTCTTGCAAATGTTGTCACTAAGGTACATTTGGCTTAGATTACTACTGAATATATGAATGCAGGTCAGCCTGTGCATATACCCATCTGAAATCGATAACGATCTGACAGTATCAATGTGTAAATGGTCGATCCTTCCATCTGGTTCACGAAAAAACTCGAGTAGGAGATTCAGTGGGTCTGAGAATTTTCGCTTCCTCACCCAACGTCCTAATTTGACGTTCATTTGGCAATTAGTTTTACAGTGTCTGTGAAATCTGGATGCAATAGTCCGTTAAAAGTTTCAAAAAAAAACAAAAAAACAGTCGCTTCATGTTATGCAGGATTACGAGGCGATCGTTGGTTAAATGAAATATCAAACGAAAATGATTCACTGATGTTTAGTTAAAAGCTTCGTAGCATCAGTCGTAAGTTCAGTGGTACAGATTTTTATCTGAATGTAGTTTTGTTTATTGTATAGTACCAAATACAATCACGAAAGAAATGTGAATAACAGATTATCTCTGATTACCACAATCAGTCAAACAATCTGTCAATCGTAAATAATGTAAAACTAGGAACAAACGTGCATCGGGACAAGATATCTCTAAATATATATAGTAAACGAAATCCAGTGAAGTATTTTTCTTTACCAAAATATACATATTAAAGGATGAATCGAATTATCAGTAAGTAATCTTAACAATAAAACAGAAAGATAACTTCTAATTCATCTTATCAAAACATAACTACTATAAACAAAGGATGACATGGATGAGTCAACTGTATTATCATAAAATGTCATAAGTACATTAAAATCTAAACTGTAATAAACATAATTTTTGATAAGCTTTGAATACTTATAACACTGAAAGGAAAAAAAATCAACTACACATTGAAATACAGGTAGCATAGAAACTGTAGTCGACTGTTAGGCTAACAAATAGGAACACACATGATGGTGATATTTTTCGTCCAATAATAGTCAACAAATAGTAATAATCAATAGTAATTATATATATATATATATATATATATATATATATATATATTGGACAAGGGAATAGTTGTTTATTACTAGTTTGAGACTCCTCAGTAGTTTGATTCTATGTAACGAGGCGAGAAGCATAATAATCTATAACAAAACATTTAGTAAAGTCAACTATCGCTAGGAATGGAATCCAAGATGGGTACTTTGTCCAGTCCAGGGCTCGTCAGGCGGATGATTTTAAAACTGAAACTCGAACTTAGTCTTCCTTGCTACAAATACAATGTTATCTATCAAACTACTGAGTCCAGGTAGCTACTAACGTGTTGAATAGTTACCAAATAATTTGTAAGGGTTTATATTTTTCGACTGTTGATATGAAGTACTATATTTCATGGTGAAAAAATTGTTTAAGGTTACTTAACTTTTAATAGTTACGTAACACGCAGGTTTATTTATGATGTCAATCATCTTTAAAATGCAAAATTAACATTTCAGACATTTGGTTCATTTTGCTTTAAACAAAACTAAAAATCATACAGATGAAAAAAAGATTAAAGGTTTAGGACAAGTTAACGTGATATGAAAAATTACAAGTAAGCATTTAAAAACTAACATTAGTTAAGTACGCCGTTATTTGATATTGTCAATCAATTGATATTACGATCAGACATTAGTTTTTTACAATTAATTTTACACAACAAATGTTATACCTTTTTTATTAATGAATTACAGTTAAATTCACCGTATCAGGCTAATCGTTTTGATAAGTTTAGGAATATAATTGAAATTCTAACTAATATATATAAGAATAGCATAGTATAGCTTGAAGAAACAATGATTTACTTACGTATCACGAAATTGTCGATTAAATCGTGTCAGCATACCGGAAGAAGTGCTTTTATCTTCCTCTTTCTCGACATCATTGCATTGTATCCTTGTATTACTATTATTAGTATTTGACTCTTTTATGACTCTATTGCATATTGTGTATAATTGTAAAGCTAATCGTTGAGCGATTTTGGCATCAGATAATCGAAATTTAAGAATATATTGTTGTGAAGTGTTTTTATCATTTTCGATAGACTGTGAATTATTTCTATCATCCTTTAGATTAACCATATTTGACGCACTTTTCATTTTAGTGCTACTCTTTATATCAATAAAATACATCAATTTTTCTGCCTACAATTATAGAAAGAGTATTAATTTATGCATTTTTATCCAGTGTTTCTTAAAAAGATTATTTTGTATAGGTAGGTAAAACGACGTTAGATCCTATTCTGTGTGTTGCACGGTTGTTAGTAGTCAGCGGGTAACATTAGACCTAGGAGGTTGTGTGGCAGTCACTGTAAGAAATCAAGAATCTTGAGAAGCTACTAGTATCTGACAAATATGTCTTAGGAATATTGCTCGCATCCGCTGGGATCATCGGTTAAGTAATAGTGAGGTTAGACGCAGGGTTTTAGGGAATGATGGTAAATCATTTGATGAGGTGGTAAATCTTCATGGAATTAGATGACTGGGTCATGTATTATGTATGCCTGAACACCGATTACCACGACGCGCAATGGTTGCAGACTCTGGGTAACGGTTCAGAATGGACCACAATGGCGTGAGTGTATGCACTATATGTCTTTCCAAAAACGGTGAGATTGAAACTGCTTTGTATCTTTCTTTTATATATTGCCACCATTGAACCAACTACTTCTATGAATTCGGTGTTCATCTCGTTGTACTAATGAGGTGTATCAACTTGGGCTGATCATATATGTGCCTGGTTCTACGATGTAGCTGACTGACTGAGAATCTTGAGGGAACCGATAACTTTAGTAGGATTTGAACTATCGATAGCCAGGTTTACAATGAGATGAGTAGGTATGCAGCAAAGTGAGTGGGTACCGACGGAAAGATTTTTACTCAAAAAGCGGTCGTTCAAAGCATTTTCGTGTTCAGTTTTACTAAACAAGCAGATGTCGATTGATGAAAAATTCATCACGGTCGAATAAAAAGAGAGAGGAAACTCGAACAACAAGATTCCTGATATATTCTATGTGAATAGCATGCTACTAATGGGTCAGAGAGCATAAACGTTTTGGTATATTCAGAACGATTATCAATCTACAAACTAGAGTCCCAAGAAAACAAATCGGAAGTTGATATTTCAACTGAATTTCTAACTCTATGGCTAATTTAAGCATATAAATCAAATCTCGACACATTCACGTATATTCATACATCTGGTCACTTTTGTGCAGGCAGCTACTCACTCAAACAAAAAGACCAACACGTCCCACCACCGCATTACTGATTATTGTAGACTGTGGTTGGGTAAACATACAAGTTAGTCTATTAAAAATGTAGGATTGTCATAATCAGACAACATAGGAACAAAACCAAACAAATGTTTAGCAGTAATGGTGAGAAATTGATAGATGGTAGAAAGGTAGGATAGTGGAAACCAAGAAGTGGAATCAGTCCGTGAGGTCATGTATCGTTGTACTGAGTTATGTAGGTGAGTGCAGACACACCAGATCGTGGTTCATGCGACTACCATAACCAATGGTTGGAAAACTCAAACACGTCAAACATAACATTTGCAATGTGTAACAATGTGGATGATGTCCAAGACCAAAATGATGTTTTGTAAGGAAATGGTATGTGAGGCAGCTAACAGAATGGATAGACATATAGATGAAAGTCAATCAAGATCGTCGAAAATTATATATATATATATAATTAAACAAGACCTAGAAAAGTAGACAAAGACCAAGTGAAAATAATAGATGATTTGTTGCTTTTGAACACCTAAAAAGATCAGTTACCAGCACCCATGTAAACAACAATGTATGGTAGTCATAAGTTAGGATAATCATTTTGATGATCGATAAGAAACCATTGTTTATTGTAGAATTTAAAGATTGTTAGATGAACTAACAAATAATGAATGGCTAGACATACATACATTATGTCTAAGGATTAAAATGCAAAAAAGGTATTATAATGGGACGAAAAAATAGGAAACGGATTAGTCATAAGTATAAGGAGAAAGCTGGTTTTGATTAGTTGAGAAATGAGTGACATTATCGGAGTATGGGGGAATTGGTACGTAGTTGAGTTGCTCAAGTGTCCGTGATATTTCGAAGTTGGACAATCGGGGAACGTTTCACAACATAGTATTAGTGAGACGATTGATTGTTATGAAGCTATTAGTATTTGATCATCTATATGATGAACTGAATGAAATAAACTAGATAATAGTTGAAAAATGAGAAATTATTGAGCTGTAAATGCTGATAGTAAATTCATATGGGGAACTGTGATGGATATTGTAATCAGACTATTGAGTTACACAAAATGGAACCCTTTTAAGCATTGAAACCAATATATTTGTCATGAAAAACTGCATCGAGTCAGTTAAGATCATTATCGATATTTGTGAAGTAGTTTAGGGTCTTTAGAAAACCGAAACAAACCGTTACATGAACATATCTCTGTCCAAGTCATAGCTTATGTATTTTATTAGGGGATTCCACCATTTAAGACGTTATAGAACAATAGACATTTATACATTTCATGGCTAGAATGATAACATTTAATGACTAGTTGCAATTATAATGATCGAAAGTCTTGAATCTAATCACTTTGGGATACAGTCATAACATTCCACAGTACCGTCATATGATACGTAGTGTTTTTTTAAGGATTTCGTATGTAAATGTGAAATTTTAAGGAGAATTACACATTTCGTTATTTTCTTTGAAAAATTACGTTTACTCAGTTATGTACAGACATACAATCTAAACATATTTAAGCTAACCACAGGAAAAAAAGTATCTGTTTAGGTAGAGTTTATTGACTTTTTCTTGTGACGAATATGTATATATCTTTCTGTTAAGAATTTCGACACTGTAAATTAACACCTAACACAACAAATTCGATAATATAGCTACATGCAAATTCATTTCTATTTATTACTTGATTAAATGCACACTTGAAATTATTTACGTTGACTAGAAGTATTATGCTACTTTCCCTTATACAGTTGATCTCACATTCCCAACATTTCAGCACGTAAAAATAAAAGCTTTGAGAAGATAGAAAGGGAAACATTCATGCAGGTGACAGTGTTTTAAAGGCTAACAAAATACGGCAATGTCCGTAATCATACCGGTGGTAGACTAACATTTTTCTGGTTTGTTGTTTTTCATATGCTCCATCAATCAATTAGTGATAATCAAAATTGACATGTTATAAACTGTGTTAGTCAAGCTAATTCGTCAATGACTGTTTACCGTATGATTGAGATTACTCAGATGATTTTATACAAAAGATTCTAACGAGCACTCCAGTTATTTCATGTAGTGGTACCAGATGATTAATATAAATTACGTTGAAAGATAACACCCACTAGGAACTTATGCTGTATATCCCTTTATGTTAGATTATAACGAATTAAATGACTCCAAAAAATTGGAAGCCTAGTTTCATTAAACCGTTCAAACCGAAAATCAGAGTGGACACAACTTCCTATATTTCAGTAAAATCATACTTCTTAAAACATCGCTAATAAATGACACTTATAGCATGCAACTATGTCAAAGTAAACTTTCCTCCAATTCATATTTCCGTAATAAACTGTACTGTTAGCTGATTGATTATTTTTGCCTTACGCCTACTAATGTTTTTTGTTTCAAAGGTCATATTTGTTGTTGTATGCAAATAGTTGTTCCACTTTCTTTTTATATTTCGACTTCAGCTGGGCATATCAAAGCTTTCCTAAAAAGCTAGTCTTCTTTAACCCTCTATTCGCGGTTACATTATCAATGTTGGGTCGCAAAAGCAGCCTGGCTCCTCAAGTCATCTAATATGAGCAAATCCCGTCTTATATTAAAAGAATGGACCAATCGTTTGTATTCAGGGCCCCCAAATGCCTTGGTACGGCCGAGAGTGGGGAGAGTCCGCTCTCTCTCTCGAAATGCTTTCACATGGCCACGCGTATATAGCCTCTGCCAGGGAAGTCCTACTCACTGCCTTCTCGTGGCGAGGGTGTTGTTTACGAAAATGAGAGGACGAAAAGCGAATGTCCGGCGCTTTAACCGGATCACAAACAAATGGTGTACATGGGCTCCAGTATCCTGCGGGAACAAATGGCGTATGAACCAATTGTTGGTCACCGGCTTCCATGGGACTGCATCTCCTTACGATGCTCCACTGCCTTGTGGATCAGACCTTCAGGTCGAAGGCTCGGGGAGTGGCTCCCTAAGAAAACCACCTGCTTCGGTTTGGGCACCCGGGCAGTATCACAGCCCTCACATGTCGTAAACCGAAGTAGATGACACAGGACTCGAGCTTGCGACACCATAGTTAAAAGGTGAACGACTTATTCACTAAGCCTCCACTACACATCGTATTAAACACTTCTTAAACTAACTTACGCTAAATTATGAAGTGTGTTAATTTGATAATACACAAAATGAATAAAAAGATATTTCTCTTAGATTAGACTTATTTTATCTTAGCATTTAAAGTGATAGATAAGTTTTACATCTAAATATGTAACAATTCATAACAATCACATGATTTTAGAACATTTAACACTACCTAATTACACATGTATTGGAAAAATTAACAGTGAGTTAGTAATAAAACGAATACTAAAATTAGTCAATCGGTTAATTATAGAAACTGATCATTTATGTATAATAATATAAATATGAATGAAAAATGCGTCAGTCTGAATCTAAGTATATGATCAGATTAAAAACAGAGATCCAGGTACTGTTTGCTGGGAGAAACATTGGAATTACTTAAATTTCAATAGCTTAGATATTATTTCAAATATAATTTTCACAAATAATGTCTTCTCTATACTCAGCGCCCGATTTCTATCAAACTATTTGTTCAAATATTAACGAATATTCATATATACCGTACAGAATAACATAAAGATCACATTTATTTGCGTAGATTACTGGTTTTTATTTATTTATTGGTACAAGGGGGCACCAAATAGATATGTTACGTAAATTATTCGATTTTTGTGAGGGCCGGATACTGCCCGGTTCCCTAACCGAACGTCAGGAGATGCAGTCCCATGGTAGTCGGTCACCAATAATTGGTTCACACTCCGTTTGTCCCCTCAGGATCCTAGAGCCCACGTTCAACATTGGTTGGGAATCAGGGTTTTCCAACTCCCCTACGTGGATCCTCCGTATCCACCAATTCGACTAAAGAGCCAAACAACCGCTTTTAGTCGTCTGGATCTCGTAAACAACACCCCCGCCGCCAGAAGGCAGTGGTTTCACTGGTTCGTTCATAAATCATAGTTTCGCCATAGTTTTTCGAGTAATTAAACTACATGTTCATGAACAGAATATGAACACAAAATAAGCATAGCAAAATGATATGACGATAAGCGGAAATTAGTTGTAGGACACTCATTACCTGACTTGACAGTTAGGTCTCATCATTGGGGATCGTATCACATAAACGGATTTAAAAGCTACCACTTGAATCAATTAGGTGGGTGAGTGTGCCAAGATTAAGCTTCCTATGGAATGAGAATATTAATAAGTGCGATGATAAAATGGCTTAGAAGTATGTCTAGCGGGACTGGATTCACAAAGACAGTTTGATCATTAAAAGTGTGTCATAAACAACACAGAACCAGACACGTGTATATCAGTTCAATGTGTCACATAATATAAGCACAAATGAAAGCGTAGTAGTCGACGTTCTGATAATGTCGATTGGTAGAACAAAATATTGGGTATACACTACATTATTAGGGGAAAATTAAATAAATAGAAAGTATGAGAAACTTTTATACACTCAAGATCGACAGGAAGACAAAAAGAGAACAAACCGGCATTATTGAGGCCGATTCTCAACCACATAACCGTTTCCCAATCATTAGTTATGGTAGTCGCATGAACCACGATCTGGTGTGTCTGCACTCACCTACATAACTCAGTACAACGATACATGACCTCACGGACTGATTCCACTTCTTGGTTTCCACTATCTTACCTTTCTACCATCTATCAATTTCTCACCATTACTGCTAAACATTTGTTTGGTTTTGTTCCTATGTTGTCTGATTATGACAATCCTACATTTTTAATAGACTAACTTGTATGTTTACCCAACCACAGTCTACAATAATCAGTAATGCGGTGGTGGGACGTGTTGGTCTTTTTGTTTGAGTGAGTAGCTGCCTGCACAAAAGTGACCAGATGTATGAATATACGTGAATGTGTCGAGATTTGATTTATATGCTTAAATTAGCCATAGAGTTAGAAATTCAGTTGAAATATCAACTTCCGATTTGTTTTCTTGGGACTCTAGTTTGCAGATCGATAGTCATTTTGAAGTTATTTCAGGATGTCACATAACAGCTGAGAATTGGTAGTAGCTAACTGTCAGTCAACGACAATTAGACTAGAAAATCGTAAGGGCGATGGAACATGACGTTTGAATTTCCACTCTGAGAATTTACAACTGGTTTACAGATTCACGAAAGTTATAGGCTTGCTGTGGTAAATGCTTTTCAAGGCATATGTAAGACGTCATAAATTATTTAATCATAGCAGCATAGTTTACGTTTACCGATAACAGTAGTATGGCTGTGAAATATACAACTAACTTATAAGTTCGTCCTATAAGTTAAGAAATATCTTATTTGATTTTAATTTGAAAAATGTCCAAACATAAAATTGTTTGTAAAGTAAAACTGTGGAATGCCGGGTGTTTAAACAAATCCAAAGTAATGGAGTCTTGTGTTCGTGCGATTAAAATTTCAAACTTCACACTAATTTATAAAAATGATTCACACGAATTAATTTTTTTTTACTTTAATTCATTGAAAAGAATAAGATGAAGACATTATTCTAAACCAACGTATACAAAACTCACGTTTTCTGAATTCATGGATATTGGAAGTGTTACAATTGAACGATTAGCAATAGCATTGCCCAAATCTTGCCTGTTTTTTTTAAATCAAATATTTGTGGAATTAAAAAAGAGAAAAAACTGGGAAATACGAAACAAATTAACTACAATAAAAAGATGAATATGTCATACAGAAAATATTATGAAAGTAGACTGGTAACTTTAAAATCAATTAACAGATACATTTTATGCTTGTTCGTATACACCACTTTCATGACTGTAAATAATCATCAAATGAACGGAAGACTATCGGAAGGTAAACGAGTCAAACTATGTCTAGAAGTCAAACTTCCCTCTATATAGAGAAGGATTAGAAGCAATGAATATTAATGATATAATGAACAAGAGAGAATTAAAAAGTTGTCATGATATTTTGTGATCAATGTACTTTAATTTAAACGCTTAGATTTCAAATTAATTCACTACTGGATTCGGGCCGATGAAAGTAAAAAAACCAGTAAGTTAGATAAAACTAATTGCTAACAAACTGATTGATTATTGCTATTTATTAATTTGATCATGAGTTTTCGCCCCATTTCTACTAGGATTCGTAAGAGTACACTGAAATAGTACTTCAAAATGTTACATGATGGAGTTATAAATAATTAATAAAGAAATTTCAATAGTTTAAATCATTAGTCAATTGAAGCTAGACCACCATGGAAAACCTGGAAGCACTGGACGGCCGTTTCGTCCCATTGCGGGACTCCTCAGCAAAGCGCATCCACGCATCAACAATTAATATATTTTCGGTATGTAAACAAACTGCTCGTGGAGAAAAATTTAATTAAATTAAACTTATTAAGTAATAAAGTACAAATTTATGAACTCACGTTTCATGCGTTATTTACTTTGTAAAATAGGTTACTGATACTATCTGACTGCTCAAAATGAATTAAATAGTATGAAATTCAAATGTGCAGCACGATGATTAAAAGTTCAGATGTCCAATCACTTAGCGAGCGCTCAATCAATTACACATTACAACTATGGTACCTTCATTGAACTCTGATACCGATTGGAGATGATGATGGCTAACTAATTCCATATTTTGGTGGGTGGTTTTCGTCATGGATTGAAAGCCAAGGGGATTGAACAGATCTTACAATCTATTTTATGAACTTCCGCACATTACAAAACTACAACATAGTCGGAGGTGGATTCTAAGAAATTTAGGTCTCGCAGAGAGCACTTAACCCATAGGTTAATGAATGGAACTCAATGGTAAACATTCGTAATTTCAATCGATTTGAAACATAGTTTGACGGTTATTTAAAGTTATTAGTGATTATTTATTTATTTATTATTAGGTTACATTGCCTTATCTCATAACACACAAAATGTGAAAACTATTATGATAGAAAGTGGAAGCAAATCAATTCAGAAGAATAATTGTGGTAATTAACAAAATTTACACATCGGGTTAGTAATGTGTACAATGACACACACACAGGAACATAATAATATATTAAAATACACTTTCCTACAAAATGATTCTTTTTAACTATTTCAAGTTTTCCATCCCGTTTTTCTTTGACAAAAAGAAACAAATAAATGACGTTTACAAAAACTATTATTGAATTTTTTCTACCAACCAGAACTTTATAACTATCCTTTCCAATTGAAGGAAAATGAAGCGTAATAAATGATCAACCTTATAAATATTTATGAACAATTGTGACTGATTTCCTGGTAATTAATCTCTTATTATTTTGTGTTTTAATTAATCTTTCTCGTTTAATAAAAGAATAAAACCAATTATATATATATAAGGCTTCTGTTACGTTTATTTATTATTTTAGAACATGAAAAGTGAATAACGATTCTTATAAGTATTATTTTTATATTCCAATAGTAAATGCATTTTTTCTGATCTGTTGATTGATAGGTTACATAATTAGTGCATAAATGATTTTTACATAGTCAGTATAGAATTAAATGGAATTAGGTCAATGGTATTAATTGGTAGATAATGTTAGAATCTTCATAGCAAAATATGAATGATTGGAAGAACGATAAAGAAAACCAAACAGTCAAATCTACATTCTTTTATTTTCATTCAAGATGTGCATGGCTCATCTTTTTCTGACAGTATTACATATGACATAAATCTTTCATTTCAAGAACCCAGGTTCCATGCTGTCTCCTAGGTTTTTCATTCTAGAATATATATATAACTTAATCACTGTGTCAATTTGTAAATAAACACATGTATGCACAACATATTAATACTGTTACAATTCTTGTCTTTTATTAATCTACATATCTGGATGTCGAATCAATGTATTAAAAGAAAGTATGTGGATTTTTCTTTTATTTATTTAAACACATAAATATTGGTACAAGAAAGCATCAAATACATATGCGCCACACAAATCTTATTTGATTTGTGTGAGAGCTGGGATACTACCGGGTGCCCAAATCGAAGCAGGTGGTTTTCTTAGGGGGCCACGCCCCGAGCCTTTGATCTAAAGGTCTAACCCACAAAGCAGTGGAGCAGCGTCAGGAGATGCAGTCCCATGGTAGTCGATCACCAATAAATGGTTTATACTCCATTTGTCACCTCAGGATCCTGGGGCCCACGTTCAATATTGGTTGGGAATCAGGGTTTTCCAAGTCCCCTAAGTGGATCCTTCGTATCCACCGACTCGGTTAGTGAGCCAGACATCCGCTTTTAGTCGTCTGGATCTCGTAAACAACACCTCGGCCACGAGAAGGCACTTAGTGGAACTTCCCTGGCAGTGGTTGTATGCACGTGACCATGTGAGAGCATTTCGAGAGGAAGGGCTGACTCTCCCCACTCTCGGGTGTACCAGGACATTTAGTTAATACAAGTGACTAGTTTCAAGAGGGAATTTCCGGAATTCTAGTGAGAAGGTATGATCAATGGAGTCTAACTCGAGTCGAGAGTGTGAGGCAGTTTACTACCAACGACAATGGAGGATGGTCGCGCAATATATCATGGATTGATTGCAGTCAGAAATCAACAACGTTGAATGCCAGTTCAGTGGTTTAGAAGTTAAGGGTTCGCCGGCAAGACCTAAGGTGCAGGGTTCGATTCACACGTGCGGGATCGTGGATGAAGAATGCTGAGGAGTCCCACACTACAATGAAACGGTTATCCAGTGCTTCCAGATTCCCAATGGCGTTCTAACATTGATCGGTTGATTTCAGTGAAACTCAATAATCTCCACAACCCTATACTGACAATTAATATTATTAATTACAGACTGTAAATAGTTGTAAAAGACAATTCATGAAATAAATAAATTCCCTATTTCTTGTGTGACGATCATTGTTCGTGTTTTAGTAAAAGTTATAACACGGAGGAAGTGTATAAAATAGGAACTTTTTTTAGAGAAATTGTTTAATGTGATCAATTCAACTAGACAGTTGGAAAAAACAAATTCCACAATAAGAAATGTATAATAATTGGCTAGGTTGAATCAATTATGGTTTTTCCAATTACAACATCACTTAAAAAAGCATTTGTTTATATGTTACACAACACAGTGGATAGAAATCCTGTTGCACAAAATATATATGTGAATGTACGTAGATGTACATACGGATATGAATAACAATACAAAAGGAGTATTGAATAAGAAATATAACGTAGTTTTGCAGTTTTTAATGAAATAATCTATCTTGGTAATAAGACGAGAAATTGCTCTTAAAGAGAACGTTGAATCATTCTTCAATGAATAGGGAGTTTTACACATACAGATCAAACAGAGGTGTTAGCAATACATACACACACAAACTCATGGTTTCAACAACATGCAATTGAATACAGGCAACTGATAGTCAAATTATCGTTAAAGTTATTAATCCAATTTATACGATTTCGATTCCAACTTCCACTTTAACTGGCAAAGTAAAAATCAGTGAATAGATATCCTATGTTCAATTTCAATATTTTATCACGGGATAGAGGGAAATAACATTAAAATTGATTAATTTACTCTTTCAAAGTTATTCAAAAGACTTCTATCAAGTCATGATGAGTAAGCAGCACAGAACTGAAGTGAAATAAACTATAGATGTTTGTTGATCATTTTCAAGTACGTATGGTGCAATCATGGTGCTAGGACCACTGAGGATAAAAATGACGTAGTACATAGGTATTGTAAGGTGTACTGGGGTTTTCGAACAATAACCAATATCGGTGTTCATAATTGATATTTGTATATTAATTAACCAGATCAGTTTAACAAGTAACAGCCGAATTAAAAAGCCAAAATCCGAAATAAACTCGATAACACACATCAACCATGAATCCATACTAAATTATAAATGATGAATCAGTGTCCGAAATCATCACATTTTACAAAAACACCAATAATAATAAAGATAATCACATCATTTGGCAGTTAGATCGCAATTTATCAAAGGCCCTTTTAACAACATTGTAGTAAGAACGTCATAATAAGGTCACGTTTAACAAAATTAATAATATTGCTATGTAATTGTACAAACGTATATATAACTGGAAATGTTATTATTCAAAGGACATCAAAAGTGCATAACACAATTATTTTGCGTATGAATGCAAACAAGTTACAGTGACAATATCCAAACAATGGTATGTGAGAGTATAACGAGCATCTAGTTCTAGTGAGAAGCCATGATCAGTACAGTTCGATCGTGTGTGGTGTGAGATGGCTATCCACAACTGGCAATGAAAGGCTGTGCAATATCATGGATTGTTTGAAGTCAGATATTACCATAAATATAAAAAGATCAATTAGTTATAAAATGAATAAATTCTCATTTTCTACTAGACAAACAGGCATATACATGATATGAAAATCGTTTGTTTCAAGTTGCTAGTAATCACGCGATTACAGAGCGGAGCTATCATAAGGGAAAACAAGGGAGCGGATATATATATGTATACGTAATGAAATTGGGAAAAGCTTGCATCAGGACCGAGAAGCATGGTGGTCGGAGCGTACCAATGAGTTTGAGGCAGAAGCTGCATCTGGTAACTGCCAGAAGCTCTTTCAACGCATCCGAGCCACTGGCAGCAAGAAGTCTGGTGTGAGCGAAACAATCTGTGAGAATGACGGGATGCCAATCACCAACACCCATCGACGTCTTGGACGATGGGCAGAGCTTTTGAAGAAGTTCAACTGGTCTGCTGCTCCGGCGACATCGGTCAGACTGTCCTGTCGTCCACGGCCTGTAACGACCACCAAATGAGGCGGAACTCCACAAGGAACTCCAACAAATCACCGGCGGTGTGGACCTATTGCCTGACTTTGGGTATGCTGATGATATTGTCTAACTTTGCGATAATGCCCAAGCCATGCAATCCGCACTTAATCAGTTGGCAATTAGTGTCCGTACGTATGGTATGTTGCTTTGTACTTTCGAAGTGCAAAGTACTTTTCTAAGACTGGCAGCACCCTGATCCAGCACTCACCCTGAGTAGTGAGCAGATAGAAGTAGTCGAGAAGTTCGTGTATCTGGGTGGCTGCAAAAGTGCTGGTGGTGGCGTGAGTGGTGGATGTCATCCAGGAGAATTCCACGTCGTGCATTATTTGCCGACGCTGGAACTGGTTAGAAAAAGCAGAGATGGTCTGTGTATGACACGGTTTCATGGTATGAAAGAAAGCTGTACAGGATTGGCTTCTGTTGATCCTTCATCACTCCATGGTTGGGGTGCAACACAGTGGCTAGAGACATTATCAGATATGACTCAGAATAGAAGCCAGTGGCGATCTTGCTGTAAATTTATTCTACTTCTTTATAAAAAGTGGACATAACTTTTTTAACTGGAAGAAATCTCTCTGGCTGTACTTTTGCTAACTGAACTGATGCTCTGATAATCATTATTTTACTATCACACACTAATTTGTGCTCGTTATTGTTCAACTTTTTCTTATACGCACCTTACATACTTTATCTCTTCACATTCTCATTATTATTGTGTGGCGCATATGTATCTGGTACTCCTTGTACCAATATTTGTGTTTAAATAAATAAATAAATCAACGATAACGGAAACAAAAAGGTGACAAATACAACATGCTATCTATGTTCAAGTTTATAGATGAAAATAAGGGAAAACTCAGATGTCGTTTCAATTACTTATGTCATTCTGTTCGAATTTGACTTAATTATCAATGTTGGCTGCAGCTTGAATGTACACCAACACAACAACGGAAAATCAACCAGATAAGAGGCATAGGTTGGTTAAGAAATAACATTTAAGAAAAATGAAAATTTGAACATAAGAACTACACTTCAAAAAGGAAAATACGACACAAAAGAATGATGATTTGTGTTCGGAGATCACATCACTTATCGTATAGATAAGTTTGTTGACATACATAGCCTCTGTCAGTACATATCCTTTAAAATCGTTACTAGATTATATCTTGATACCGTCTATTTTTTATTGAATTCACCTGTACAAGTATAAAACAAAGCTGAACACAATGCTTTATTTGGTTGACAACTGTCTGTTGACAAATACTAATAGCTCTGCACCACAATTCTACTACACACAATCGAAAATATTACTCATAATAACAATAATGATAATAATAAATATTATTATTCAAAGTTAAACTAACCAACTGAAACGTGTTGATAAAGACTCAACAAATTCTTGATGAATAATTAATCCATCTCTATTAATTCCAATCTGGTATAATTGTCCTTTCTGATCCTAGAAAAGAGTATAAAAAGGCAAGAGAAGGAAAAGTTTGGATGATAGAAAGTACAAAAACAAAATTGATAATGAAAAAAAATATTAGAATATTTTTTAATTCACACAAACGTTTATTACAAATAGATACGCCAGGCAGACTGAAAAAAAGAGATTATTAAAAGAAACTGTTATACAAAAAATACAGCTACACAGGCGAGGAGAAAGAAGGTATAAGTGTACAAAAAAAGGAAATCAATAAACAAAGGATAATGTGATCAAAACTTATAGAAAACAGATGCATGATAAAGATGTATCCATACTATACATCGATTTATAAAACACACATGAAATTAAATTCCACTATGTGAAACTTTATTCGATCAGCAATAGTAGTTTGGTAAAACTAAGTGAATATAATAAACATGCTTTGAGTATGAATCAATGAATACATAATTAGTCAATGATCAATATTGTGATATGGATAATAATTATAATATCAATCATAATACCTGTGTAGTATATCCAGCAAGCAAAATAATGCATTCATTTGGGCGTTCAATAATTAGCAGTATTAAAGAGGAAGCCCTGATTTGTAAAATAATTACTCTGCAGTAAATAAATGAATTGAATGGTACATATCAAAGTCTAATTTCTCTATAGTTTGGAAATAGGATACAGTGCGATAACAATCAACAATCACATAATATATTCTCAGATTTCACTCAACTCTTCTAGAGATTGATAACGATTATTGCATACACCTCAACTACCAAGTCGTTATCTCCCAAAGTGGTTGAATTCAGCAATCGATAACAGGCGTACGCAATGTAGAACCTGATGCCTCGGCCCAATTAGCCACACCATATCACAACAACAAGATGAAATTAGCGAGACAAATGCCAGGAGTAGTCGCATTTTTAATAGCATCAATGGTAGTAGAAAAGATTAGACAGACAAAATTATTTGAGAGAAAAGCACGAATTCATGGAATAACAAAGTAAAAAATAATTTCGGAACTAAGGGAAGAGTGGGTACATCTGCACTGTTAAGACCGATTCTCAATTATGTTGCCCAACGTATCAAACCACTGGTTATGATGATCGCGCGGAATTCAACCTGGTAATCCACACCTGACAACACGGCTATGACCTGATTCGAATGTACAAAGCTTCTCTTTAATTTTTTTCTTAAATAGGTGCAAGTGTGGACAGATAAGAATGTCTTGACAGAATAGATAATGATCGATGCAAATGTTATACATCAGAATAAATAATTGTTTGACACTCCTGACGATAAATATTGGGTGGCTGCCAGTTAGAAGTTTAGGAATCGACATTTGAATAATGTAAATTCTTTTCGACACATATTGCCAGCAACCACGATATCTCTGACCGGGATTTTTTGTAACTTGCATAGCGAAAGGTCGTAAACTTTTCATAAACACACCTGAATACGTTATGCGATTGATAGAAATGATGATGTGATAAAACAAACAAAAAACAGATAACTTGTCGAAATATCCAGATGGCAGGAACAGGTAGCCCATATATGCATATATATACACCCACAGATGTATTTTTAAGAAAAGATGTGCAATTTTCCAACACACACAACATAGTTTGATTGACAGGTGATTATTTATTGAATAATTTCATACACCACTGATATTTATGATTACTAGAAGAATGATAATTGTCTTTTCTTTGAAAGAAAAATTAAAATTAATTCTACGTAATTAACAATTGTTTGGCTACAAAATAAAAATGACTAATTGTATAGAAATACAGTAATATCATACAGTACTATATAAATGTCAATTTTCCATCATACTAATAAGTTCATGTGTCGTATTTTATATTTTATTAACTAGAAAAAAAATTTACTTATATGTAGAGAAAAATAGTTAATTAAACCAAAATTTGAGATATATTTTAAATTGCTCATCTGTTCATTTATCTACAAACAGAGCAACAGTTATATAATTTATCATTCACCAAATTCTTTTTTTTCTAAATTTTCTTGATTCAATATCGAACAAAAATAAAAATTATAAACAAAGATGGATGGTGGCTAGCAGTGGAAGACAGGACATGCATTTCGTCCTATTTGAGACTAGTCAGCTGGATGTACCTGCATCTCAGAATTGATGTTCACTCTGGGACTCAAAACCCTGTACCGTTCGCTTCAAACGCCGTCGCGTTATTTACTTAGATACTGAGTCCTGATAGCCATTTGCTTGTACAATGGGACGAAACGCTAGTCTTGGATTCCACTGCTAGCCACTATCTATCTTTGCTTATAATGCTTGTGAATTAATGCAATATCGAGGTAATACACACAGTATGCACATATGCCAATAAGAGACTAATCAATTGCAGTTCTAAACATCAATGGGAAGATTCAAGTAAACAATACCAAGTGAATTTAAAAATAAAAGTTGTCACTTTAACAGGAAAAAATAGATGCATTCTATGAACAAAAAGAAGTATATGTTAAGGAGGTGAAAATAACTGACAAGTAGCAAACTTTTTACGATAAGAGACTGAAACGTATGTGGGTTATTTCAAACGACTTTGAGTCGTCTACTGACTGAGGTCAATCTTCTTAACTAATTCGTATATACATATATCATTTCGATGACTTTAACAATAGGTATTTTCTAAACGATTTATACTAATTGTAAGTACTTTATAATAAGGTTATGAACAAAAATAGATCATATTTTAAAAAAGCAGTATGCAAATAAATTATATACTTAACCTTTTGTTTTATTATAGTGTAATGGAATTATTCTAGTTGATCGATGAGTGAAGTGAAAAATTCAATTATCATATCTTTAAATGTAACATCCTATATTTGTAGACAGCCATTAACGTCATATGATAAATTTCAATAAAACCTTTTACTAAGTGAGTAAAGAAACACTAAGAAAAGCCGAAAGAGAGAAAAATATGTAGAAGAAGCTAATACGACTAATTTCTAATATTTACTTATCACTTTGTCAGTTTTTCGTAGTCCAAATACTAAGAAGGATAGTTTTCAGCGTAGAAAGAGGCAGCTTTTCCTTTCAAAATCCTTTAATATGACCATATATTTAAAGTCATGACCAGATGAGTCCTATTTACATCCTTAACAGAGGTGTTTCACAAAAGTGAGAGGGTCAAAGCCCATGTCTACTGTCCAAAGTTGATAAATATAGGTTTGAACAAGGTAAGTTGGAAAACTCGAACTGTCAACTTTTGGAGCATGTGAATACCGGGATTCTGAACGGGGAAAAGTCGTGTGAATCTATTTTAGTCATTGTCTATCAAAATAACACGACTTTGATGATTTTTTGTTTCTTAGATCTTTAGGTCAATAGTTAGGGAGAGATTGGTATCCTGAAAAACCATACTTGAATGCTTTGGACTACTAAGTAGTATAACGGCATGTCTGTGAAAGAAGAGTTTGGATTTACTGACTCAATATGATATTACTCAGTTTACTGAAGAAGCATTTTCGACAAAACACATTACAACAAACTGTATTCATTTAGGCACAAAAACCGGGCTTAGAACATAGTAACAATTTAAATCGGTTCACGTTGTCCTACTTCACATCATCCCAGATGATAATAAACGAGACTGAAAGCAAAGAAGTCAGAACGATAAAGCTGATAGCAGTGAGAAATCTAACTTCGTTAAATTAAACACTATACGAATAATTAGCTAACCGGAAGATGACTTCCATAAATCAAAAGGAATAAGTTGAATTCACCAGGGCTTCAACAGTAGTAAATCGATAAATCTAAGATTTCCGTTACATTAAAAATATTTCATATTATAGCATAATTAGTTGGTGGCAAATCAATGTTGAAAATAAAGGAAACACCAAATACATATTTGGAGGAAGAATCGAGTCATAACTTTCATTTGAAATCCTTCCCATCAAAACATTGACGCTTGTTTTGTTATTTATTCTATATGAGAAAGAAAAAATATTTTTGCAACTCCTCCTACACTCCATCAAATTTGATTTTAGCAATACGCCCAAAAGCTTTGTTAAAACTTTCATCTTTAAGAAATTATGAAGCCGTAGTAGTAATGAATCATTACAGAAATACAAAACTTCCCATTTCTTAAAAATCAGTATCTTGTAAAGTGATTTTCAATAGTCATTTAGCGGGACTCAGTCCACTACCGAGAAATCGTATCAACCAGGTACAAGGGAACAATATGAAATATTTTTCATTATTAATAATATATAAAACATATGAGTGTGAAACTGCATTACTTGATAGTTGGAGTATTTAAGTCATTAGAAATCAACTGACAAAAAGGATTACCGATATATGTTAAAATTTGTTGGTAGATTCGCGTAGGGTTTTCCTCATAGTTTGGACGACCGTTAACAGTATGGGTTGATATCGACTAGAGAAGCTTTGAGAATTGAAGTACTGGATTAATTTAGCACTTTAGTGAGTATCCAAAACCTTTAGATCTTACAAAGAGCAAAGTGCTAGTCAGTCAGTAGGTCAGAATCCAGAGGTTTTCTAATCAATGTTTCACTCAAATCACAACATACCATTACACTATTAAATAAGAACTTTCGTTTAAATTCGATCGAATAGTTTCACAGTATTTGGGTGCTGAGTTGATGTGCGAGGAAGAATATATTTGTAAAATCTCAGCGAATAAATTTGAAGTAAATCCGACGTTTCGCTTGGCAATCTGGTCCAAGCTCTTTCAAGGAAATATAATCAAACATCAAAATTATCGAATATAAGTAGGTAAATGGTTCTCCGGTTTACTGTGTACTGATTAATTCATCCAATCAACGTTAACCATTACACTATAATTACTTGTGGGTATCTGTTTAACTTGACTTTATTATTTACGAGTTCCACCGTTTAGAAAAATCAATGGACTATTGAGTCAATATTATGTCGAAGCCATTGTTTACTATTCCTCAGTACACAAAGCTTCTTCAGAGGACGTTCGTTCCTAACAATGTCACCCAAACATTAATGAAAGGTTCAA